TGTTGATCTTGATTTTCAGCCAAACAAAAGATAGTTGATGAAGCTTAAATGAAGGTTTGGAGGGGAGGGCATGGAGCTGGGAAAAACATAATACCGAACTCAACTGGCACTCCAAAGGTATAATTATATGAGATTAGTACAATCTAATTAATTGTGTGTTCCTCACACTGTCACATTTTCTTTCTCCACCTTTGTTTTAGATCATATAATTATCAACATTTGCCTATTGTACACACAACTGTTTCCTCTTTGCGACTTTACTTGCTGAGTTCAAATTTATGCTTTGTTTCTAATGTTTGCAAGTTTGGAACACTTTTCTCATTTTTGCGTTAGATTTGGTGTAACATTTGTGTCTTATTTACTTTTAATTTGAAGCCACGTTGAAACTCTTTTATATAAAAAAACAGATTGATATAGAGCATAGAAGTTTTTTTTTTGTGAACATGTTCTAAAGAGTATGGATATTTATTTAAGTACTCTGTTTCTAAAAATGAGCATATGTCTCTTGAGTTGAGCTTGGCAGCAATTTGAAAATGTGAATGTGAATAATGAGTGTGATTCTGAGTGCATCATAGAATCACTGTTTTTGGTATAAGCTCTACACCGTATCAAATAATGTTTTGTCAAATTTGATTCAATTTGTTACCCAATGTGGAGGGTCTCCACTTTACACGTTGCTTGAATCCACACCCCATCTTTTGAATTCTTTTTCTAAAGTAGTGCCCCATGCCAAAGGAAGTGAGATTATAAGATGTTCATTATATTATTGAATATACTTGGATATTTTCTCATAAAAGTTTTTTTGCGACTTAGGTGACAATGCTTCAAGAGCAGTTGCAATAATAAGAACAAGAGCTGAGGATGATACTGGAAGCTGCATTCAAGAATTCCACTATGATTGGCCACTTCTGCATTCAAGGGGAGTGAATTCAAATAGCATATTAAATATGCAATAGTTGTTGATTGGATTTGTAATTGTAATTAACTTTTCCTTTTCTGTGATCCTAACGATGAAATGCATATTTGTCCTCATATGCTCCTATTGTTTCATTGTTTTGACAAAACACCTTTGATTAATATAGCAACAGTTTGGCAGCACCTTTTGGTGTCCACTGCTGGATAACATATACGTAGTACAAGTTTCTTGAATTGGGAGAGTACCAAGCTTTTGTAAGGAAGAAAAATCAATGCCCAAGTGAGCAACGTGTTGTCCTAACTGTGGATCCAAAATAAAAGAAATGTTTGAATTGCCACAAGACCCACAATACTGAATACAGTAACAAACAACACAATATCAGTACACTCAGGTCGACACCACATATAGTTCAATAAAAGCATGAGCTACATATTCGCAGTCATGGACCGGTCTCGGGCCAGTCCATGACAGCCTTTTGGGGTTGGCTTCGGGCCCGGAACTGGCCTAGGTTTCCACTTGGTCCGGGCCGGGCCGGTCCTTGAGCTTCTTCCCTTTTTTTGCATTTATAATTAACCCCCGACCCCCTCACCCCCCGAAACACCCAGCCCAACCCGGGAAAAACAAAAAAAAAACTGAAAAAAAAAAACGCCCGGACCAGACCTAGACCGACCGGCCCGGTTCCTATTTTGGGTGACCCGAGCCCGACCCGTATAACCCATTAACCCCCATGTCGGGCCTACCCTGCCCGGTCTCTGGCCATGCCACTGGGTCGCGCCGATTCCAAACAGTGCCAGGCCAGGCCACTTGCTATTCATTTCCGAACTATTCTAGCCTGAAAAAGAGCACGCCAATGGCTAGGAAGAGGATATGACACATGCCACTATAGTAACAATCTACTCATTCTCACTAAATGTCTAAATCAAATCATCCGTCATATATACATCAATGAAAGAATATAATGTCTATTGGGTTTCAAATATGCAATACATTAGATTAACACATTTTCCCCCAGATTACCAGCATCATGACATTAAAATACAATCAAAGAGAACATACACGGGAAATGAGAGAACATATCTTCTCTCTAGGGAACTCATATTAGTTTATTCTACGTATTACGTAGTAGTTTTTTGCAGTCTTGATTGACCTCTTCAAAAAAATTTAGCTCACGTGATATGTGAAGCTTACAAAACAAGATTTAATTTTATCTGAATTTTTGGTATTAACGAATACTCCGTATTTGATCTAAATAGAATGTTTTTTCTATATGGAGATTGCCGAAATAAAATATTATACTGGTGGCATACTGGCAAGTTAAGCTGACAGAGTTGATCTTTTCTGAATATAAAGATGTTTTTACTTGGACTATAATTTGTCTCAAATCAGATCAGACCAGATCAAACGGATAGTTATAAAAATACAAAGAATTCAGACCAGACCAGACTAGACCAGACCAGGCCAGCAAATTACAGACCAAGTAAAAACATCATAATTCTTAGACTTTGGGGTTCTTTCAATTGACATGTTAAGATTATGCTAAGAAACACATAGGTATATTCATAGTAAGTATTACTACGGTATTAGTTTTACAAAAGTGTGTCCTCCGTGTTACTTTTGACATTGTTTTTACATTTTTAATTTGGGATCAACTTGTGAGAATAGTTTGGACACGTGTTTTCTTCCGCCACTACTTACCCCAAGTGTTATGCCACTAGCTTTGAGGCTTCACTTTATGTGTCATATAAATATTCGTATAAAAGCATTTAACCGAGAGTATTAAATTAGCATATTTATATCCCAGTAGAAATCTATTCACCAATAATCCTAACATGTCTAAATATCGTTATAATTTGATAAGTTAGCAACTTAGGATCCAACCTAATTATAAAATAAAAAAAACAATTCTTTTATTTTACAAACATAGATTATAAATAGACAGTATATATGTGTGCGTGAGTGATCGTATGGGAAAAATATCAATCTTCATATTGCATGAGCCCATAAACTGGCCAATAGAAGTAGGGGATGAAAGTAGGCAGTCGCTCAAGTTGGGAACCTTGTGTGTTTTCTAATGATGCCTTATTTTTTTAAGTATGGAATTATCGAATGTTGCAATTTGGGGTGTGACAAGTCTATCTGATTTAATTTTTGTGATACGCGGCAACGGAGAAGAAAGAGAAAAAAAATGTAAAAAGTGCTTTCTACAAATTTATAATGTGTGTATTTATTAAATTTGTAACATATGCCTACAATTTGTGACTTAAAATTGAATTCAAAATAAATATTTGTATTTATAATAACTAAAGTTATATCCCGCGCACGGGTGAGTTACTAGTATATTGAATCGTAAGAGGAACAACACCAGAAACTACACCTCTGGACTCTTGTTATTCTTATAAGTACAAATCGATTGATAGTTCATTTGTAATACGACTATTCAATTGATGGGAATATGTCAAATATGCTTCTCTCCAGAATCTGGATTCTTCGATTGTTATTGCCTTTTTGCTTTATTTGATGGGAATTAACAATCCAAATTGCTTTTAGAAGCCAATCGCTATATACGGAGTATATGTGTGTATAATAATAAGTATTTTTGCTATATACGGAGGAGTATTATATGAAGTATGTCTTTTTTTTTTGTAATTTTAATTTTTTCAGTCTCCTTTCTAGCTATTTCTGTCAAACGAGTTTACTTCATTCAACAGGTAATTTAGATTCAGACTTCAAAGTTCAGATTCAAACAATAGTCTCTAATTCAGACAATAGTACCTAATTCAGACAATAGCCTCCAAATTCAGTTTACTTCATTCAGCTAGTAATTTTTTCTTTGGTATATGAAAACGAGATATAACTACATTAATTTGGTTATTTATTCCTAAAAAAACTATTAAGATACAAAATTGATTTAATAAACTAATCTGCTAACAAATAAATTAAGCCTCAATAAAAAATTACGGAAAATATATATGAATAGTCCAAAATTTTTTAAATTTGGAGGATGTCTATCTCGGAAGTCCCTTTAAATACATTACTGATCAAATATACGGAGTATATGAATAATGGAGTACTGACATGGTGAAGAGGGTACGATCATTAGTTTATTAATTAAATCCATAAATTATTGTATCTAATTCCAATTATTGTACTTTATTAATTATGAAATTCTGAAGAAGAAACTAAGAAACTGCGAAATACTCCGTATGACCGTATATAGATATTTCACCTCTACTTTAGCACAACTTTATTACCTAGCTGTACGACTTTCCTTTAATATTGTTACCATTTTAGGGAATTTAATTAAATAGTGATCCCTTTTTCGTAATGTTAAAAAAATTTCTTCATGGATTCTTTGTAAAGGTCGTCGGTGAGTGGAAAAACTTTTTGTTTTTCTTTTGTTTCAAAAGGGACTGAAGATATTGTTCTTTTGTATGGATTATTAATTGGACATGAAAGTCTACAACTTTTAGCGTTGTTTGATTTCATGGTTTTGCGTTTGGAGTGAAAGGGAAGTTTCCTCTGCTTTTAATTAATTTAACCTTTCTGACGAAGAGAGATTCAATGAACCTTTTTTGCTACTACGTACCGCTATTGGCCAGACACTGCTTTTTTTACCTCACAGTCTCACACTCACTTTACTCGTTACCATTAATTACACTAGGATTGACATTTAAGAAAGAAAACAAAAGAAATTTCTTTACTGACAAAAATACAAGTATGAACCTCATTCTTGAGAGCCTAACACCTAACCGGCTAACCCTGGGTGGTGGTGGAGGATATAGCACCTTATTTCGAGTATTCTAAAACATTAACAAAGCCTTACTTAGAATAACTTAATTATTTTTTATTTTTTCATTTCCAAATAGGTAGATAAGTTAATGAGACAAATCTTATTTTGATTCCAAATAAAGCTAAACCCAGTGGCGGAGCCAGCTTACCGATCTTGGAGGGCACATTATTTAGAAAGCTACGTTTAGGAATTGGTGTACAAAATCAATTCATATAAAGTCTTTGTCACACAACCTAGAAAGACTAGAATTGAACTAATATGAGTATAATTATAAAAATAGCATTATGAGAAGTTAAATCAATAAATCCAGACAAAAAACAAATGGAGACTTGAGGATTCTCTCTAGGGTTCGGTGGCTTCCGCCGGCCGCCTTAGTGTAGTTCGTTTTTCCCTTCTCGTTCTCAGCCTTGGCTTTGGATTGCTTCAGAACAAAGGCAGGGCGATTAGGTGTTTTGGGTCTACTGCAATCGGCAGGTTCGTGGGTTGTAGGGAAGACGTTTGCTAACTGCTACGGCTTCGGAGGGGACATCTCGGCAGACGAGTTTTTCAAATATGGAAGATGTGGTAGAGCAGTATAGACGTTTGGCTTTGGAGAAAGAAAACAGTAGGCTGAATTTTGATGATGAGGAGGAAGAGAATACCATTCCAAAGGCAAAGGCGGCAGATTTTCCGGTGGTGGGAGTCATCCTCACCGACCGGAAAGTCAGATTTCAGTCAGTTCAGGAACTGTTTGTATCACTCTGGAGGCCAGGGAGAGGAATGGCGGTTCAAGAAATTGATGAAAAGAGGTATCTTTTCACTTTTAATCACAAAATTGATATGAATCGTGTTATAGAGGATGGTCCTTGGTTATTTGAGCGGAATTTGTTAATGCTAAAGGCAGTTGGCCCTAATGATATACCGCATAAAATGGACTTGTTCGAAGCAGAGTTCTGGGTGCAAGTGCACAATGTGCCGTATATGTTTATGAATGTTGATACCGCTAGGAGGGTGGGTAACTATATAGGGGAATTCATTAAATTTGATGAAAGCCACTTTAAAGAAAAATGGAGTTCTTGCTTGAGGGTTAGGGTAAAGATGGATATAAGAAGACCCCTAAAAAAAGGTTCTACTTTGACTAAGGGAGGGGAAGGACACTGGGTAGATTTTAAATATGAAAAACTACCAAACTTCTGCTTCATTTGTGGGATTATGGGGCACTCTGAGAAGTTTTGCCCGTTAAAATATGTGGAGGATCTAGTTTTGGAGAAAAATTTTAGTGCTGATCTCAGAGCAGGTGGTGGGGGTAAGATCAGCCCCACGAGGGGCGGCAAGTGGTTGGGGGATAAACATGGAGGTTCGAGTCAGCAATGGAGGGCTCGACAAAAGGAAGAAGGCACTATGAGACAGGACCGTAGGGGAAGTACCGCTGAGTCTGAAAGCAGTGGCACAAAGGAAGAGACTAGAAGCGGTGCTGGGGAGGTCGCGGTGGACCAGAAGCGCAGGAGAGTTTGGAAGGAGCCGTCAGAAGAAAACATCTCAGGGGAGGAGATGGCACTGGACAGCACAAAAAACGGGGAGGAGGCGGGTCTCAGCTCCTAGGCCCGCCTGAAGTATTCATGAAGCTGCAGGTGCAGAGTTTCCACGGTGGTGCTTATTTTATTATTGCTTGCTTTGTTTCTTTTGATGGTCAGACTGTTGTTTTTGTTATTGGTTTTGGTTATTTTTGTAAGACTCTTGCATTAGGCTCGGGTGATGAGTGTGCTGCAGTAACCATTATTGGTTCAGTTATGCCCAGTTTAGGATCAGCGAGTTATACTGCTTTTTTTAAAGTGGTTAACTCAGAGTCTGGCCCAAGGGCGGATGGTTATGGGTGGTGCTCTTGTTATTTTAGATCCTTGCTGAATGCTTTTATTCTAATATAAGTCCCCTTCATTCAAAAAAAAATCAATAAATCCAGAATAACAATAAAATTAGTACTTTATTAAATGACCACGTAAGTGCGTCGCTATACTCCAAAATACACAAATACGAAGTACACAATAGCAAAAATCGTCTTCGGAAATAGCATCTCCGCAATTCACAAAAAACGATGACACCACATCCCTGAGGGCCCCCAACACCGACCGGACGACACGATGGGAGGATGTAAATTGGACTATAATCACAATCTGACAGATAGGGAGTGGGGCACCGTCCGCGGTACTTGTAGAGACCCTCTATTGAGTAACCTCTCATCGCAGTTGCCGGGAGTTGAACCCAGAACCTAACCCTTGTTGCACTCCCTCGCTACCAGTTGAGGTACGCCCACCGGTAGCATATCTGCAATTCACTAATCTAGTTCTAGTCATGCTCTTAAGTCTATGTAGTATCCTATGTGTGTCACGCCCCGGACCTTCCCGGACACGTCAACAACCCGCCGTACAGTACGAATAGTCAACCGCAGTCCAACTCATCCATACTATACAAGGCGTCTTGAATACCATTCACATTAGTACATCCATAAACAATCACAATGTAAATCATTTAATTAAGCAGCGGAAATATTAATACAAGCATTCGAGCCACACGTGGCAAACACGGGCGTGCAAGCCCTAAATAATTATTCGGAAAATAGTATCCATGAGCATTAATTTGAATGTTTTAAAACAGAAACGGAGGAAGCACGAACCACGTCTCCTCTCCTTGATAATCCGCCCGAAGTAACGGTGATGGTAGCACCCTTCAAGTTCTACCTGAAACTGTGAGGTGGCCTCCCCCGTGAAGGGGAGGTCAGTACTTGGAAGCATTTGACAAGTACAATGACAACTATACTAAGTATAATCAAAGTTTCAATTTCCAAGACCCTCAATCTAGGATGTTATTATATTATAGGTCATAACCCGTGGTTACCCTCTTTTGAAAGTATACTTACTTTATATATATAGTCAAATAATCGCCCGAAGGCCCATGTTTACTTTGGAAACATTTAACCCTTTCCCCGTGACTTCAAGCCACACCCATCTATATTAGTTTACCATGCTAGAGGCTTCCTCTAGTCATGTTTTGTCGTGCTAGAGGCTGACTCTAGTCACTCCACTTGGTGTTAGAGGCTTCCTCTAATCACCTTACATACGTTGTGCTGGAGGCTTCCTCCAGTCACATTACGTTACGCTAGAGGCTTCCTCTAGTCGTCCTACACGAATGCTGGAGGCTTCCTCCAGTCATTCTTCATCGTGCTCGAGGCTTCCTCTAGTCACGATACTAATTCACTAAGCAATCTCTATGCCTAGAGTTCCTCTACTATGAGTAACCTTCAAGAGCCACTCCTACGGTAACTTAGCGTTTACTCATTTCTACCTTAAGACATTTCATATGACTACTTAAGGTACATCTTTCACAATCCAAACCCCTGGGATTTGTTCTATCACTTTTCATGCTAACATCCCCGGCTAGTATTTCTATACTAGTCATTTAACCTTAATAAGCCAATGCAATTTCATAGTAATTTGGCTATTTCAATTTAATTCCACATTCAAGTATAACTTGGTACTAATATCAAATATCACTTTTATCCTTCCATGACTTCCTTACATGAGGTAAAAGTATATTTATCACAATTCATTTATAGTTTACACGCTATTATACCATTGTATTCATAATACATAATCATACACAATTTATTCATAAATTTGTATATTATGCACTTTTACTTATAAACAATAATAATCTCATTTAGGCATTTTTTTTATATTATAAATAAATCATGCCAAACACATATAATTCATTTAGGTAATCTTATGAAATTAACCCAATAATTATAAGCAATATAGTCGGTCATCCTCACCTTAAGTGAGCTTAAGCGTGTTCTACGCTCCGCGGTTGAACTTTGACTATTTCCGGTGAACTTTGACCAACTCCGGCCAACTTTGACCAACTCCGGCGAAACTCCGGCGAAGCTCCAAAGTACTTTAATCAAGTTCCTAACAAGGTTTTAACATCATAAAACCTTAATCAATACGAATAACCTCTAAAAGGTTATTTTTCGGTGAACTTGTCGGTTTGGCTCCTAGGTCCGTTTTTGGACTTAGAACCCCCTTCCAACCCATCATTCTACACTAACTCATGTGGAACAATCCTCAATGTTCTTCACATGATATATATCTCAAATGATAGAAGAAAAATAAAGGAAAAGTTAATATAAGGTCATTACCTTAATCTTTCTCACTTTTCCTAGCTTTTTCTCTCTTAAATCTTCCCTCTTGGACCTCTATTGTTTGAGCTCTCTTCAAGGATGGGGAGAGGAGGATGGAGATCTTTTCTTCCCTTGCTGGGGTTGGTGCTGGCCGAGAATAGGGGAGAGAGGGGTTGGGGTTGGCTTTTTGTCTCAATAGGCAATTATGTGTGGGTTGAGAGACCCACCTTTGTCCTTTAGATGCCTCTCAAGTCAACCCAACTCCTACCCATCTTCCTCCTCTCCATTCAGCAGCCCCATGCCTCAATTTGTGTGGCTAAATTCGTGGGTTGGCCCCCACCCATGTGGGAGGTCAACCCCTTTTGTCCAGAAGTGTACACTTTGTCCCGAAAGTTGTATTTTTCGGACAGTTTTAAATATATTTTATTTTATCGGGTCAAATAAGATATATTACATGTTCCCAATCATTATGACCCTTAAAATGAATATACATTTCCCAACTTAAATTTATAGGTCTCCGAAATCCAATTTCGGGCTTTTATCGGTTAGATTGCCAATACCGGTATTTGGGCCTCTTTTGACCAATCGGTCAACTCAAGACCTTTCCATGGTTCAAAAGAATTATCCACCCCCATATAAATATTATCTAGACCAAGATGAATAATTTATGTGGTCCCGGGAATATCGGGCGGCCCCCGCTCCCGGTGCGGGCCCCACGCGCGAACTTACTATTCACGCAAAAATTAATAAAAATTCATAACCTCGTAAATCCGTCAACCATTCCAAAAGGTTACAATACAATATTCACTTTAAAAGTAAATACATTTGGGGACGGTGTTACAAGTTCACCCCCCCTTATTTGGGATTTCGTCCCCGAAATCCACGTGTCTAATCGAAGAGAAAAGGGTATTGCTCTCTCATTGAGACCTCAGTCTCCCATGTTTCTTCCTCGACCCGATCACTCCTCCAAAGGACTTTTACCATAGGAATCTCCTTGTTCCTCAATTTCTTCACCTGTTGACCCACAACCTTTACCGGTTCCACTGCATATTGTAGATCTTCACGTATCTCCACCGGTGGCTTCTCAAGAATATGAGATGGATCTCTCACGTATTTCTTGAGCATCGATACATGAAACACGTCGTGTATCTTCTCAAGTTCCGGCGTCAGCTTGAGACGGTAAGCCACCGCCCCAATCCTTTCAAGGATTTCAAACGGACCAATGTATCGGGGGTTGAGTTTTCCCCTCGATATAAATCGGATGATACCCTTCCAAGGAGAAATTCTTAGGAAGACCTTATCACCGACCTCGAACTCCAATGGCCTGCGTCGTTTGTCGGCATAGCTCTTCTGCCGATCTTGGGCAGTCTTGAGTCTATCCTGAATGACTTTCACTTTAGTCTTGGTGATTTCAACAAGTTCAATCCCCTCGAGCTTGGCCTCGCCGACCTCGTCCCAACATAACGGTGTCCTGCACTTCCTCCCATACAATGCCTCATATGGAGGCATGCCAATACTCGCCTGATAACTGTTGTTATAGGCGAACTCGACTAGAGCCAAATGTTTGTCCCAACTTCCTTGGAACTCCAGAGCACACGCCCTAAGCATGTCCTCCAATATCTGTATCACTCGCTCGGATTGTCCATCAGTCTGTGGATGAAAAGCCGTGCTAAACTTCAATTTAGTACCCAAAGATGCTTGAAACTTGGGCCAAAATCGAGATGTGAATCGTGGATCCCTATCCGAGACAATGGATATCGGGACTCCATGTAGTCTCACAATCTCCTCCGTGTATAGCTTCGCCAATCTTTCAAGAGGGTAAGTGATGTTAATAGGCAAAAAGTGAGCACTCTTGGTGAGCCTATCAACTACTACCCATACCGCATCATAGTTGTTCACGGTCCGTGGCAACCCCACCACGAAATCCATAGTCACATGCTCCCATTTTCATTCTGGAATGGAAAGTGGTTGTAATAACCCAGCTGGATGCTGATGCTCTGCCTTGACTTGCTGACAAGTAAGGCACCGACTGATGTACTCGGCTATCTCTCTCTTCATACCGGACCACCAGTAACTTTCTTTCAAATCGCGATACATCTTCGTGCCCCCCGGGTGCATGGCATAAGCCGATGAATGAGCTTCCTCTAAGATGGACTTTCGGAGCTCATCATCCGCCGGCACACACACTCGGTCACGAAATAATAAAAGACCGTCGTCTCTTTCTCTGAAGTCCTCCACCGGTCCCGCTTGCAAGCGTTCCCTGATCTTCACAATTTCATCGTCAGTTTCCTGACCCTTCTTGATCTCATCAAGCAAGGTAGGTCTCACCTCAAACCGTGCCAATAAGGCACCATTACTGGACACCTCCAGTTGGGCTCTTAATGCCCTCAAATTAGCTATCAATGCCCCAGTTGAGCTCTTCCGGCTCAAAGCATCTGCCACTACATTTGCCTTGCCTGGATGGTACTCAATCACTAGGTGGTAGTCCTTTATCAACTCCATCCACCGTCTCTGCCTCATGTTTAACTCTTTCTGAGTAAACACGTACTTCAGGCTCTTATGGTCAGTGTATACGTGACATGTCTCTCCGTAGAGATAATGTCTCCAAATCTTCAGTGCGAACACCACTGCTCCCAACTCTAGATCATGGGTGGGGTAATTTACCTCATGCTTCTTCAACTGTCGTGAAGCATAGGCAATTACCCTCCCCTCCTGCATTAACACACATCCAAGCCCTTGGATGCTCGCGTCACTATAGACATCGTACCCCATACCCTGTTTGGGTAATGCAAGTACCGGTGCCTCGGTTAATCTCTTCTTCAGTTCAGCGAATCCTTTCTCACACTTGTCATCCCATACAAACTTAGCTCCTTTTCGAGTGAGCTTTGTCAACGGTGATGCCAAAACAGAGAACTTTTCCACGAACTTTCTATAGTATCCTGCCAATCCAAGGAAACTACGAATTTCCTTGACGTTCTTTGGCCTCTCCCATTCAGTGATGGCTTCTATCTTCTTGTTGTCGACAGCAATTCCCGATCCCGAAACCACGTGCCCGAGGAAGCCAATCTCCTTAAGCCAAAATTCGCATTTAGAAAATTTGGCATAGAGTTGCTTCTCCCGTAGTGTCTCAAGAACGAGTATCAAGTGCTCCTCATGCTCTTCCTCACTCTTTGAGTAGATCAAGATGTCATCAATGAACACAATCACGAATCGGTCCAAGTATTTGTGAAATACTCGGTTCATCAAGTCCATGAATGCCGCCGGGGCGTTTGTTAACCCAAACGACATAACAAGGAACTCAAAATGCCCATACCTCGTGCGGAAAGCACTCTTCGGTATGTCATCCTCCTTAATCTTCAATTGATGGTACCCCGACCTCAAGTCAATCTTTGAAAACACGGTTGCTCCTCGTAGTTGATCAAACAAGTCATCAATCCTAGGCAAGGGATACCTATTCTTGATTGTGACCTTGTTCAGTTGACGATAGTCAATGCACATTCGAAGTGTTCCATCCTTCTTTTTCACAAAAAGGACCGGTGCTCCCCATGGGGAGTGGCTTGGTCTGATGAAACCGTTATCCAAAAGCTCTTGCAATTGGGTTTTTAACTCGTTAAGTTCAGCGGGTGCCATACGGTATGGCGGTATGGAGATTGGTTTGGTGCCGGGCTCGACCTCGATCACGAACTCAATCTCCCTATCGGGTGGAAGTCCCGGTAAGTCTTTAGGAAAGACGTCCGGATACTTGCATACTACCCTAACATCATCAATACTCGTCTCTTCTTTGGTTTTGTCCACCACATATGCTAGATATGCATGACACCCCTTCCTCATCATATTCTTAGCCCTCACAGCGGATATGATACAACTATTGGATTTTGCCCTATCCCCCTCGAAGCATAAGGTTACCCCTTCATTGCCTTCGAGTTCCAGTACTTTCGTGTAACAATCGACCCTAGCATGATGCTTCTCAAGCCAATCCATACCCAGGATTGCATCGAACTCAATCATACTCAGCGGCACGAAATCACACGACAAGTTTTGGCCCTCCACTTCCACCTCACACGATGGATAGTGGCTATCTCTCTCGATGTCTTCCCCTAGGGGTGTGGATACCAATAGGGCTTGAGCCATCGGTATCAGGGGTACGTTGAATCCCCCGGCGAATGCCTCACTCACAAATGATCGTTGCGCCCCAGTATCGATGAGGATTCTCGCACATCTCCCATTAATCTTTAATGTTCCTACATTTATACACCATGTGAGATACATTTTCTAATGTTTTTACACATCTTAGGAGGTTATTAAGTAAATACTAAGGTTTGGAATCAATCGGGGGTCCAAACGTAAAAGAACGGAGCGAAAAAATTCGATTTTCGGGTTCTGGGGCCCACGCACGGCGTGCCTGGGTGGCACGCACGACCGTGCGTGCAGCGAACTTACCCTGCGTGCCACTGCCGGCCAGGCACGATGCCAGGCACGGCGTGCCTACGGCCGTGCCTGGCCAAAAATACTTCGGACGCCACTGCCTTCCAGGCACGACGCCAGGCACGGCGTGCCTGCGGCCGTGCCTGGCCCAAAATTTTTTTTTTTTTTTTTTTTCTTTTCTTCGGGTGCCACTGCCTTCCAGGCACGATGCCAGGCACGGCGTGCCTGCGGGCGTGCCTGGCCAGCAGTGGCTGTTTCCAGCCCGATTCGGCCTAACTCACCCGGTTTGACCCCGGGGTGGCCCGTACTCAATCCCAACGACGTATATGATCAAAGTAAGCCTAGAGATGACCAGAATAAGTGTATTACCTGCGACGGAGTCGGGATTAGCCCGAGCATCGGCCTCGGTCATTGCGTACACTCTCGCTTGAGCCCTTCCTTGGTTCACGGAGGGTGCGTTGCTTGTACTTGCCCCGCCGTGGTTAGTGCTTGCATTGGGTGCCCCACCCCGGTTTCTACTCACCATGGTTGCACTGCTTGGCCCTGATGACCGGTTCCCACCGAGTTGAGGGCAATTGGGCTTTATGTGCCCCGTATCTCCGCATTGGTAGCACCGTGGGGGATCACGACATTTGCCCTCGTGATTTCTCTTGCAATTCCTGCACTTAGGCTTCGTCGGGGCTTGTGATCCCGAGTTCTGCCCACTCATGTTGGGATTCCCCCTTGATGGTGGTGCGGGTGCCCTGAAGGATCCTCCTCCCCCGTGATTCCCCTTCTTGTTTGAACCCTGGGGGCCATGGTTCTCCCATTTTCTTTTCTTTGCCTCCTCGGCATTTCTTCGCTTCCTCTCTTCCCACTCCTTCTCTCCTTTCAACCCTTGTTCCACGACTTGACTAAATGTCATATTAGGCAATTGTGTTGCCCTCTCACGTATGTCAAGGTCCAAGGCATCCCAGAAATGGTTCACCATCCGATTTTCATCACAAATGTACTCCGGTATGAACTCGGCAAGCTTTCTGAATTTGTGCTCAAGTTCCTTCACCGTGCATTCCCCTCCTTGGGTCAAATTCGTATACTCCCTCCTCTTCAAGTTCACCTCGAAGTCGGAGTAGTATTGGCTAAAGAATTCTTGCCTGAAGTTCTCCCAAGTGACCGCCTCACCATACTTCCCCTTGACACCGTCCCACCATGTGGACGCCATTCCTTCTAGCAATCTTGTTGCCACTCTCATCTTCATATGGGGTGGCAGCTGCATATCAAGGGCCGCTTCATTGAATCTTTTGATCCATTCGGCTGCCACGGAGATGTCTCCCATTCCATCGAATGGTTTGCATCCCAACTCTCTCGCCTCTTTGAGGTATTTCGAGATTCTTATGATGGGAACCTCGGTACCTCTTCCTCCTCGGGACTCCTCATGTTCCCTAGAGCTAACACGGCTCCCTCTTCTCGAAGCCCCTCCCGAAGCACGCCTTGCCCGGCGCCTTTGGCGATCTTGTTGGTATTGCCGAAGCAATTCCTCAATCCGCTCGAGGGCGTCATTATCGTCGCTCCCCTCACTAATGTCATCATCTTCCCCCTCATATGGGGTTTCAACCGGCTCCGTTCCCGGTCGGTACGTTGAATCCTCCTCGGACTCATAATGCTCGTCAATTGTTTCAACATGACCGTCACTAACGGTCAGCGAGTGGCCTGCACGGCCCTGCCCTCGAGACACCCTTGATGCCCCTCGACTGCCATGTTGGGACCTTCCCGGCGCCTGGCCAGTCGGGTTTCGTCGGGTGACTTTACCGGTGCGTTCCATTTCTGAAAGAGATAGAGAATGAGTCATTAGACCCGTATCAAAAGTCAAGTGACGGATAGGCACTTAAAGACATCCTTTGGCTCAAATCACCGTCATACCAATTGTTAAGGGTACCATCTTAACAATTAGAGACTTTGCAACTCAAGTACCAAAAGTTCTATAAGTGCAAAACTTTTATGCTCATGGTTTTCAAAATCATTTTCAAAAGGGATTTTGAAGCTTCATTATGAAGTTTACGGACTAAGGCTCTGATACCAATTAAATTGTCACGCCCCGGACCTTCCCGGACACGTCAACAACCCGCCGTACAGTACGAATAGTCAACCGCAGTCCAACTCATCCATACTATACAAGGCGTCTTGAATACCATTCACATTAGTACATCCATAAACAATCACAATGTAAATCATTTAATTAAGCAGCGGAAATATTAATACAAGCATTCGAGCCACACGTGGCAAACACGGGCGTGCAAGCCCTAAATAATTATTCGGAAAATAGTATCCATGAGCATTAATTTGAATGTTTTAAAACAGAAACGGAGGAAGCACGAACCACGTCTCCTCTCCTTGATAATCCGCCCGAAGTAACGGTGATGGTAGCACCCTTCAAGTTCTACCTGAAACTGTGAGGTGGCCTCCCCCGTGAAGGGGAGGTCAGTACTTGGAAGCATTTGACAAGTACAATGACAACTATACTAAGTATAATCAAAGTTTCAATTTCCAAGACCCTCAATCTAGGATGTTATTATATTATAGGTCATAACCCGTGGTTACCCTCTTTTGAAAGTATACTTACTTTATATATATAGTCAAATAATCGCCCGAAGGCCCATGTTTACTTTGGAAACATTTAACCCTTTCCCCGTGACTTCAAGCCACACCCATCTATATTAGTTTACCATGCTAGAGGCTTCCTCTAGTCATGTTTTGTCGTGCTAGAGGCTGACTCTAGTCACTCCACTTGGTGTTAGAGGCTTCCTCTAATCACCTTACATACGTTGTGCTGGAGGCTTCCTCCAGTCACATTACGTTACGCTAGAGGCTTCCTCTAGTCGTCCTACACGAATGCTGGAGGCTTCCTCCAGTCATTCTTCATCGTGCTCGAGGCTTCCTCTAGTCACGATACTAATTCACTAAGCAATCTCTATGCCTAGAGTTCCTCTACTATGAGTAACCTTCAAGAGCCACTCCTACGGTAACTTAGCGTTTACTCATTTCTACCTTAAGACATTTCATATGACTACTTAAGGTACATCTTTCACAATCCAAACCCCTGGGATTTGTTCTATCACTTTTCATGCTAACATCCCCGGCTAGTATTTCTATACTAGTCATTTAACCTTAATAAGCCAATGCAATTTCATAGTAATTTGGCTATTTCAATTTAATTCCACATTCAAGTATAACTTGGTACTAATATCAAATATCACTTTTATCCTTCCATGACTTCCTTACATGAGGTAAAAGTATATTTATCACAATTCATTTATAGTTTACACGCTATTATACCATTGTATTCATAATACATAATCATACACAATTTATTCATAAATTTGTATATTATGCACTTTTACTTATAAACAATAATAATCTCATTTAGGCATTTTTTTTATATTATAAATAAATCATGCCAAACACATATAATTCATTTAGGTAATCTTATGAAATTAACCCAATAATTATAAGCAATATAGTCGGTCATCCTCACCTTAAGTGAGCTTAAGCGTGTTCTACGCTCCGCGGTTGAACTTTGACTATTTCCGGTGAACTTTGACCAACTCCGGCCAACTTTGACCAACTCCGGCGAAACTCCGGCGAAGCTCCAAAGTACTTTAATCAAGTTCCTAACAAGGTTTTAACATCATAAAACCTTAATCAATACGAATAACCTCTAAAAGGTTATTTTTCGGTGAACTTGTCGGTTTGGCTCCTAGGTCCGTTTTTGGACTTAGAACCCCCTTCCAACCCATCATTCTACACTAACTCATGTGGAACAATCCTCAATGTTCTTCACATGATATATATCTCAAATGATAGAAGAAAAATAAAGGAAAAGTTAATATAAGGTCATTACCTTAATCTTTCTCACTTTTCCTAGCTTTTTCTCTCTTAAATCTTCCCTCTTGGACCTCTATTGTTTGAGCTCTCTTCAAGGATGGGGAGAGGAGGATGGAGATCTTTTCTTCCCTTGCTGGGGTTGGTGCTGGCCGAGAATAGGGGAGAGAGGGGTTGGGGTTGGCTTTTTGTCTCAATAGGCAATTATGTGTGGGTTGAGAGACCCACCTTTGTCCTTTAGATGCCTCTCAAGTCAACCCAACTCCTACCCATCTTCCTCCTCTCCATTCAGCAGCCCCATGCCTCAATTTGTGTGGCTAAATTCGTGGGTTGGCCCCCACCCATGTGGGAGGTCAACCCCTTTTGTCCAGAAGTGTACACTTTGTCCCGAAAGTTGTATTTTTCGGACAGTTTTAAATATATTTTATTTTATCGGGTCAAATAAGATATATTACATGTTCCCAATCATTATGACCCTTAAAATGAATATACATTTCCCAACTTAAATTTATAGGTCTCCGAAATCCAATTTCGGGCTTTTATCGGTTAGATTGCCAATACCGGTATTTGGGCCTCTTTTGACCAATCGGTCAACTCAAGACCTTTCCATGGTTCAAAAGAATTATCCACCCCCATATAAATATTATCTAGACCAAGATGAATAATTTATGTGGTCCCGGGAATATCGGGCGGCCCCCGCTCCCGGTGCGGGCCCCACGCGCGAACTTACTATTCACGCAAAAATTAATAAAAATTCATAACCTCGTAAATCCGTCAACCATTCCAAAAGGTTACAATACAATATTCACTTTAAAAGTAAATACATTTGGGGACGGTGTTACAATGTGAAAGCTTCAACAATGGTGGCTAATAAATAGCTAAAACTTAAAAGTTTGCAGGGGCACAAGCACCCCCAATCCATAACGTAGTTCCGCCACCGGCTAAACCCGAATCCTTAGGAGATGGAGACCAATTGCTCTCTGTGATGTTGTCTATGATTTTTTTCTATGGTTTTTGACAAATAGAATAAAGGGGGTTCCTGATAACATGATTTGTGAACACAGACTCTACTTTCCTAACTAGTGACTAAATCAGGTGTTTCCTAAGTCACTTTCCTCCTTATAGTTCATGGATCTTTCTCACCACTTGGAATAAGTCATTCCGCTCGTATCCATGGTCTGTAAGGTTTCTCCCTAATCCAAGGCCCCGATCGAGTATCTGATGAACAATGACGATCAGCATGTCCTAGCCCCCCATAAATAAATCAAAAATGGAGAGTCATTCATACTTAAACTCTGCCCAGAGCCAGTTGTGACTCTCTTCTCTTGTTGGTGTCCTTTTCGGTGCATTGTTAGTGTGATACAAACTCAAATTCTAACATATTCTTTACTAGCTCCTCTTAGTGTCTTTTCATCGATCTGCACCACACCAATGTTCCTAGATAACTACTGATACCCACCACAACTTTCTTAGTCATAGAACTTAGAGACAGATTATAGATCCGAACACAGAATTCGGTATAATTCAGCTCCATAATCAATTGAAGAGTATATTATTAGGATGTCTAGTTTATTAATTTCAATATAAGCTATTCCCATATAAACAAAATAAAATAAAATAACATTATTAATCTAACTTGAATATTTTTGAACTCATTTGAAAGTTTGGTAATGAATAAATTATCTCATCTGTAAGCTTCTACGCTTATTTGATTTTTTTTAATCTAATTTCAAACTTTTTAAATATGTCACAATCTTTCTTATCACACTTTTTATGTGATCTATATCTATGATATGATCAGAGCTTTTCTAGTATATTTTAGTCTGATTAGAATAAGAAGAAGAAATATGTAATAAGATTCAGACAAGCTAAGTCACCTAAATTCAACTTTTAACATTGAGAGAATTTTTGGAACCAAACTTTTAACAAGCAATCTCGTATTAAATCAACTCGACTTAACTAGACCTAATTTGATTTGAATGTATCAAATCATACCACTTAGATAATAATAAAATGCACACACATCATATGTTTATTAAGCCAAATTAGTCTTAAACAAAGTAAATCAGACCAAATTTAAATAAATGAGAAAATTTCAAATCAGTTAAAAACATGTCAAGTGTTAAAGTTTTTCAAAGTGTTCTAGATGTACTTGAACTACTAGTCACATACAAACATAAACCAAATCTGTAACATACGGAGTATATCATATCATAACTTGATTCTTTCAAGCGTTTCAACTCTCTTCATGAAAATCAAATAAACTTACTACGTACATTATAATTTAGTAGTACTTGTACTCTTTTTTGTTCTCACTCACGAATAAAAGATCAAACTAAATGTTGAATTAACTCGCATAAAATAAAGTGAATCGGAAAAAGTCAAAGTAAATCCTCCAAAATCATAATTGAACTTTGAAAACATCCTAAATAACTCGATAAACGTGGTACATCCATATTCAAACAAAGCTAGAATGTTTTTGAATTAATGAAACAATAAATCAAAGGCACATAAACTCAAATGACGCATAATTAAAAGAACTGATTTGAAAAAGTTCTTGAAACGTACTATAAAAAAATACTTCTTGTTATATTCCCGATATCCCATTTTATACTTCGTATGTCGTAAACAACTACTTTTAGGGAGTGTTTGGTTCAAGGTGATATCTTATACAGGGCGGAATTTGATGCCCGGAATGTGAGATACCTGTGTTTGGTTCGCGGGTTTGATTTTTTTTTTTGGGAATGTTACATTCCCAGAAGTGGAAAAGGTGATCACATGAATGGGCATGTGAAACCCACTAGAGCCTAAGGTTATGTTAGATTCCTGGTGGCTTACTAATTTTCTTCCAAAAAACTCATGCTTCATTAATCTAATACAAGTTCTTAACTTCTGATATATCACTCTTCATTTTGTAATTTTTAAAATTATACTGTATTTTTTTCATTATAGTTGTTTGAAATTATTTATACAATTATACTATATATTATAAGCTAATACTATATTTTTTCACTAATCTTTGTCATTTGTGCAATTACAATATTTTTCTTAAAATTATTTACTAATGTTCACTAATCTTAGTCATTTTTGCAATTAAATACATTTTGATTAGAATTAATTCAATTAGTTTTTATTTTAATTATTACTAAGATGTTTTATTTTTCTATAGTTTTAATTACTTTAATTATAAGTTGTAATAAGTTTAATGTGTTAAGAGACAAATATTTAAAGGGCATTCAAGTAATTCACCAAATATGCAATATAATATATCATTCAACCAAACAACTTAATGTGACATTCCCTTAACCGTAACCAAACACAAATGGGTTATACATTAATCACATTCTCATCTATCTAACATGCCCAGTAATCTAACATTCCCATGGTAATCTGACATTCCTTGAACCAAACATACCCTTACAGTCAATCGAGGTCCATTATTCTCTAACTTCGTAAAACGTAAGCAATGTTGTTTGCCATATAAATTCTCTAACTATTCCATTAAAAGATAGCTTCTACAAAAGTTTTAGTATGTAAGGAAATGTTGGGTACAACTAGGTGAAAATACTTTGAAATAAAGACTAAAAAAGGAGTCTGGACTTCTCATTTTCCAAAACTAGGACTGATTTTTAATTTGACAAAAAAAGGACCGCACCAGATCTCCAAGCGACGCACCATCCCACAGTCTTCTCCGAGCTTCTCCCCTGCGCGCAACAACAGCACTGACCAAAGCTCCAAACATCAACGTCGGACACCTTTTCGCCGATACACACCGCCACCCCGCGCCTGCCTCCGCCGCTCGCGTCTGCAACGTTCATCTTCTTCGTCTAGGTGCTTCAACGGCTCAACAACGAAGATGTCTTGGTCAAAAACTCCATGGACGATGGGAGAAGCTAGCTTCGAAAAAGCCTTCATCCACGTTACTAGATCTGCGGCGGCTGAAGTTCGATTGCGACGGCGGCGGCCTTAATTCTCAGATTTGCAGCCGCCTGCAACAGGGGAGGGGGAAATGGTGGGCGGAGGTGACGGGCCTAGTTGCCTGGGGGTATGGGATGAGGTCTGGACAAGGCCTTGGGCGATGGTGGGGTCGGGTAAGGTTTGTAAGGTCGATCCGGCGGCGGCCGGAGCATGAGCGGTGGCGGCCGGAGCATGGCCGGCGGTGGCCGGGGCATTGGGATGGGTGATGCAGGGGAGAGTGGGCTGGGTGATGCAGGGGGTTAGGGTGACCACGGGAGGTGGCTGGGTGAGGCATTGGGATTGAGTGTGGTGCTCGCCGGAGGTGGGAGGTGGTGGTTGTTGGCGGTGGCGGTGGGAGGTGGTGGTTTATGGGTAATTAGCGGTGGCTGTGGTCAGTGGTGGTTTATGGGTAATCGGACGAGTTGGTAATTGTAAGTGAACGGTTGGTGACTGTAACGGGACGGGTTAGGTAACTGTAACCATAATTGGCAGGTCGGGTAACTATAACTGCACGGGTCGAGTAACTGTAACTGGACGGGTCGGGTAACTGTAAAATAATTGTTGGTACAGTTAGCGATTAGCAGCCTTGGAAAACAAATCAGAGATGCTACATAATTAAACGGGCGTTATTTATCTAAACCCACAGCAAATGTCAAAGAATTTCATATTTACATCCCAAATCAAGAACTGTACGAGCATTATGAAAACCCAAAGGGAAATCAGATACAGTGGTGGTCGAAATAGAGCACAAAGTGAGTTCATGCAATTTCTAAGAAGGAAAAGAGTGTAGGGAAGGAAGCAAGGGATACCAAAAGCCATGAATTAGAAATACAATTGCCTACACTGAGCCACTTCAACCTCAGTCGGGCAGTAAGGACACTTGAATGGCCTGGAGACATTGTTCTTTGACAGTTTTGCTATAGACTGCTTGCACAGCACGTGCCCACACGACAACAACATGGGTGGGTTCTCTTCGGTCGCCTGGTCCCGGCTGACTGGACACACAAAGAAAGAGTGGAACTGAAACTCTCTGTCCAAATCAACGTGTACGGGCAACTCCTTCATTGATTGCCATTCCTGCTTCGCTGTCATCACATTCATCAGTTTCAGCAGGGTCGGCAACCCCTGGACCCCTGCTGAGACTGTCACCCTCAATGGGCTCTCATACGAATGTCCAATGAGGTTGCAGAACTGTCTCGTGAGATCCTCAGCCAACTTCTCCCAATGGTTCGGAGATAACAGATCAGAGTATGGTGAGGAACCGAGCCTGCCAGCATATACAAGACACCCCATGAGCTTCTGGATTTCAGCCAAATGCTTAGTAGAAAAAGGCGGGAAGAATGTTCTGGCGTATTTTAACGCCTCATCTCTCCCTCTATTTTGTACTATTTCAACAAAATTCTGACGGTGAAGTTTCATCTCAATGTCAGCCCCACAAAGTTTGAGTTTTTCATGGTTAATGGTTGCCCAGGTGAGAGCAGGTTGGAGATTTCGGGATCTCATTGCTTCTAGAATCTGATACATTTCCAGGAAAGGAGATTTACTTGCAGAAGCTTCTGGAACTTCCCTAGATTCGTTCACGAAACAATCGCCGATATCAAACATGCCCTCCCGATAGAAATGGCTTGCGATGATCTGGTTGAGGGTATGGATATCAAAGTCAACGTTCCTGTAGGCCTTTGATATATCAGGGTTGAAAAACTTTTCAAGGATCTTCGGGTACTTGCTTAATGCAACATTTAGTTCTTTTGGTGCACCTTCCAGATGGTTTAATGGGGAAATTTCCTTCAGCTTGGCTTTCAGCTCGGAGAGAATCAGCTTGTGATTTGTGAGTGGTGTGTTGTTGTTTTGCATGTTCGCTATGGCTTGTTCAATTTCTTGCCCAATTTGTGTCACTATTTCTTGAGATTTGGAGGATGAGAGTTTTTGCTTCTTTGCCACCCTATCAAAAGCATCTTTGATGGTACTTAGCTCCATATCCAAATTGTTAGTGCCCACTGCTCATGCACAACAAATATATACTGATGATGAGAACCTAGAAGAAAAAGAGTATGCAGTGAGGAAGACGTCCAAATAACCTTTCCAAACATTCACTTGAGTATGAATCAGGGAAATGCAGGATAAGAAATGATTACACAATGGAGCTATAGTTCTGTGTTTGTGTGTGCATGCTGGCACAAGAAACACAGTAATAAACATTAGTCACTCTAGTTGAGGAAAGCATATAGCTACTATTTAATCATTAATACTCCCTAAGTCCAGAAAAGAGACAAGTTTGAGCAAAATAAGTTAACATTAATCATTTCAATATGCTTTTTTTAAAATGCAACAAACAAGTTTTGTGTTAATTTTTGTTAGGATGTTTTCTTTTGGACTGGATATTTTTATCCTTTTCATTTTATCATTTTTAGGTATAGTCATCTCTTTTATATTATCTTTTTCATAATAGCTTATCATTTTTATCTTTATTTTCTTTCTTTTCTTTTTGGTGGTGATATCATGTATCGATTCATGTTAGCCGACCCCAATATCTTTTGGGACCAAGGCTTGGATGTTGTTGTTGTTGTTGTTTTCTTTTGGACTGGAATTTGCTGGTCTGGTCTGTTATGTGTGAACTGGTCCGGTAAATGTCTAGTCTTTGTGTATTTTATAACTGTCTAATCCTGGTCTGGTCTGGTCTGGTCTGATCTAGGACTGAAAACAGTCCAAAAGAAAACATCCTTAAGTTGCATAAAACATCCAAGCCTTGTATATTTAAAGGCTTCTTGTTAAACAAGTTTTTCACCAACTTTTGTTAAGCTAAAAAATAATTTAATGATTTTCAGTTTTCCAATTGTTGTACCTTACATAAATTAGTGAAACCATACTCTTTTAGGAACAAATGTAGTATGAGAGTCATGGTAGCCAAAATTGTGATCCAACTCGTAGGATCGGATGATTTTACGTCTCATCTTCTTCAAAGAATAAAAAAGATCAGTAGACTCACTCCTAGAATAGTAAAATCAGTAGAAACGTAACGGACCATGATCAATTTTAGAAAAGGAAACAGTGGAAATAAGAATGGAGGGAAAATTGGAAGCAGTTGGAAAAGGTATCGAGAGAACTAAGTAAATGCCGGAATAAAGAAAAGAGGATATGGGAAACGTGCTGAAACAATGCAGGAAATTTGCATGAATACAGCACTTCAATTTCATTCTTTCAGTTATCGTGCTTTTATTTTATACATAGTATAGCATTTTATTTATCAGGCAATTGTCAACGTTTGACAAATCCTCTGTTATGAATGTTTCATAACCACTCCCTTGTACTAATCTACAAATGATCACCCATCTTCTATTATTTGCCAATGTAGTTAACTAATCAAGCTATTTTATCCTGCTTCGTTTTAAGATGTGGGGAAATAGCATATGTGTGTGTATTTATGAATATGTATATATGTAAATATATGTATATGTATTTATGTATATATGTGTGTGTACTTATGTATGCATATATGTATATATGTAAATACGGAAAAGATCCTGTCCAGCCGGAGGGACAGGATCCTCCGTCCGGCCGCCGCCGTTTGGGGCGGTTCCCGGTGGAGTTTTTTTGATGAAATTTTTATGGAATGTTCCTCATCAAGTCTAGTTTATCCACAAAAAATTTCAGCTAAAAATTCGATCGGGAAGGCAGTCAAATAATTTTTTGAAACATAACTGCGTTTTATATGTTTAATTTGGCGCAGTTATCTTCAAAAAATTATTTGACTGCCTTCCTGATCGAATTTTTAGCTGAAACTTTTTGTGGATAAACTAGACTTGATGAGGAACATTCCATAAAAATTTCGTCAAAAAAATTCACCGGGAACCGCCCCATACGGCGGCGGCCGGACGGAAGATTCTGTCCCTCCGGCTGGAGGGGATCATTCCTCTATGTAAATATATGTATATGTATTTCTGTATATATGTGTGTGTACTTATGTATGCATATATGTATATATGTATGTATGTATGTATGTATGTATGTATACAAGTATATGTGTGTATACATATATAGGGGGTGTTTGGAACCGATTCTGCTTCTGTTTCTTTTTTAAACATAAGCAGAATTAGAATCAGTTTTCAGAAGCTGATCTCCCCCAGCTTCTAAAAAAACTGATTCTAGGAGTAAATTAGAGCACCAGAAGTACTTCTGCACTTTCACCCAAATACTCCAACTTCTGCTTCTGCTCTCTGAATGAGCAGAAGCAGTTTTAAGAATCAGATCCAAACACCCTCATATATATGTGTGTGTGTACATATGTGTGTACATATATATACACATATATTGCCGGATCCTACAATCTGTTTCAGGAATATTATGATCTACGATCTTTATTTCACAACACAATCCTACGTAGGAACTCAAGTTTGACTGCCTTGATGAAAGTATTGGTAAATTAGTAACCACACAAAGTGAAGTTTCTAGGTATACATAATTTAGACATTTCATTGTTCTGCACATGTGAGTCGTGTGACTCAGGCCATCACACCCTTCCAAAAATTATTGGAAGAAAAATAGTGTAAGCTTCACACAGTAGAGTAATTTCAACATTTCCCCTCCAACCCTGTATACCATTTTCCTTCAACCCTTTAGAATCGTATAAAGAAATCCTATTACTATTTGTATTAAGGAAATTAAATATCAGAAAAGCTTGAAGGAAGTTGCTGAAAAAAGAGTATACAAAAACGACGTTCTAGTATCAGTATTGTATAAAGATTGGAAGGGAAATTTAAATTATTGTACTATAAGTTCCATATGTACCTTAATGACCTACTTAACAGTTAACACTTAACAGTTTAGCTTTTCAAAACATTGACTAGATCAAACAAAAAAATAATGAAAAGAAATCCTATTACTATTTGTATTAAGGAAATTAAATATCAGAAAAGCTTAAAGGAAGTTGCTGAAAAAAGAGTATACAAAAACGACGTTCTAGTATCAGTATTGTATAAAGATTGGAAGGGAAATTTAAATTATTGTACTATAAGTTCCAAATGTACCTTAATGATCTACTTAACCGTTAACACTTACTACTCCGTCCCATAATGGTTGTCCACTTTCAATTTGGCACGATTATTAATAAAGTGGTTGAAAAGTAAAAGTTGTGGTTGAGATTTGAGTATAATAAAGTGAATTGATAAGAACCACATATTTCATCCAAAAAAGGAAACAAGACATTCATTTTGGGACAACCCAAAAAGGAAAGTAGGACAACCAAAATGGGATGGAGGGAGTAACAGTTTAGCTTTTCAGAACATTGACTAGATCAAACACAAAAATAATGAAGGTAAGAAGTAACTGTGTAACACATCAAAGATGAACATGCTACAACTTACAAGTTAACCACAAGTTAAACAATTTTCCTTCCTTTTGTTAGTGTCTGTCTGGCTGATAAATAAAGATATGTTTGATGAATTAAATGAAAGCTTATATTGACAGTATAAATAGACAGTCAAACATCAATAGAGGTTTCGACGTTTCGTTTTAATTTATTTATCTAAAGTTTACTTATATTTCTTAGTTGTCTATTAACTCATCCAAAACCATTGAAAGAAAACGCTAAACCATAGATGCATCATAATCTGTATGACCTGGCAGAAAATGTTTGCTTACGGAATAGCTTTGCAATAAACACAACGGAATCTAGAATGGAACAAAGTTCAAAGGTAATTAACCATGAAAAGAACACAAAACATGTGCTTTCGAAATGCTTCTCAAACAATCACCCTGAACTACAAATCTACAATGAACATGGCTGCAAAAGGGCACTAGCTCATTTAGTAAAAACAGATCATGTAACAATAAGCCTAAACATACTTCAAAGTTCAAACCACAAAATAAATTTTGGATGATTTCAATGTGTGTGTGATAGAAAGAGACAATGAGCACCCGTGCCTCTGAAACAAACTATAAGATTGAATTGAATTATATACTAAGAGCTATATGGGGTCAAACTAAAGCACCTGAATAGTGTAAAATTTGTAATGTTAACTCTTTTTCAATTGAAGTAGTATTAATTAGTTACTATTGCTCTTAATTGCAGGAAAACCAGTTTTAATAATAAGGATTAAGGAAAAATAGTTCGTTCACATGTGTACACTGATGGTTTTTTGTAGTAATTGAAAACGAATCAATAAAAAAACTTTTAATCTAACGATTTTCATAAATATTAGGAACAATAAGAAACATATTTTCTTAAAACCATTAAAACTAAACTTTAATGGCCGTCAAGGTGTTCGTGAGTAAGAAACTAAGAATCCTAGCTCGATTTCATCAAAGAAGAACGGAAAATAAAATCAGTACCAGACCTTTGGGTTTTAAGATGGATTGGTATGAAACATAAACATGCACTTGACGAATAAATTCACACCAAAACCTACCGATCTGGAGACTTCGCTACTGAACCGATGGAAGATCTTCGGCACTTTGCGTCTATCTGTTGTAGATCGACCAACGTGATCCGATAGTAGATGAGATCTGTTTATCTAATTAGCCATGAAGAGACTGGCGGGGTATCCATGGAAGCGGGTATAAAACTGCCGGTGTTGGATCGGAGAAGGGTGGCGATAGTAGATCGAAGGAATTGATATCGGTGATATCACGGTGGCAGGTGGGCTGAGGTGTAGTTTATACATTGGGTTGGGTTGGGTTGGTTTATATGTTGGGTTATTTATCTGAGCATATAATGGGATAAAATGGACTGAACAAAATTTTGTGTGCCAAAAAATTATAGATCCAACCCAAGTATTTTTTGGGCTACAAAAAGAATTTTAAATGAAAACACATATATTTACTTTTTTTTAAGAAGGTGACTTATATTGAATAATCAGAATTAAGGCAAGATATAAAAAGATAAAATGTCCTTTTTCGATTATCTGCCCTTGAACCAGACTCATAGTCTATCACTTCCAAAAAAGCAATATGACTCGTTAATTATATAATAGACTTAACTGAGTCAATGACGGACGCAATAGACCTCTCATCACCCAACCAAAATTTTCGAGCTCTGCTAGTAGAAATAAACAAACCAACCAAAACAACATTCAGTTCGAACCAGAAAAAAAGAGCAAGATAATTAAAATAAATTCAAACTTGAAACAACATCTTGCAAGCCCTAACCACACGATCCCTCCACGGCTGCAGTTCGGGTGGGGGACGGACTGCCAATACTGCATCTTCTTCCTCTCTTTTCTCCTTATTCATAACATTCTCTGCTGAGCAATCGAAAGTGTAGGAGAAGCCACGTGTAGCCAAGTGTCGTACTGGTTAACAATGGCCTCAATGACTTCTTCATGTCGTGTTGAGCAGTTGAAGACGAACCTGAGAACAAAAAACAAAGTCTCGCGCATTGCGATGCGCGAGGTTGAAATCCTCTAACCGCACAAAGCCTGGGTTGGTCGGCAGAAAAGAATGGCTGAAATTCTCTATCCACACAAGCCTAGAACGGTTGGCGGAAAACTAAACCCTGTGTGAGGGAAAGGCCGCAGGTAGCTTGAGGTGTTGAGAGATTCAATTTATAACTTCAATTAATAACTTCATGTGGTAGCAATTCTATAAGAACTACGTTGAAGATTGTCATCGACCAATTCAACAAAACCACTTTTTTTTGTAAACTTGTAAAGCGTCGTATTGTTGTAAACCATTATTGATAGGGTGAATTTCCTATTATGTATGTTTGTATTTTTAACTAGTTTTATTAGTTCTAGTTGTAGAAATTACACACTTTTGGTGTAATACTTTATTTTCATTAATTATTTGTAATTTATTTAGATTAGGATTATATTGAGCTTAGGACAGGTCAAAATCATCCCAAGAATCAAAGGATGGATCCTAATGACCAAAGAATGTGCAAAAAGGAGAAGATCAAATGAAGATTTTGAAATTTGTTCAATACTCGGTCGAGTATTGCCAATACTCGGTCGAGTATTGGCCTGATACGCTGGTCAAAATCAAATCTGGGAGCAAAAGAACGTGGCTGAATATTTGATGAAAATCCTGTCGCATACTCGATCGAGTATTGGCAATACTCGGTCGAGTATGCCTATTTTTCACAATTTCCTGGAAATTTCCTCTCATACTCGGTCCAGTATTGCCAATACTGGATCGAGTACCGAACCCTGCCACCTCTATTTTGCTATAAATACACCCCTTTTCCTTCACATTAAAGAAAACCAATTCACATATACTCTTTAGCTCAGTTTAGATTAGTGTTTTCTTTATATTTTCTATCATGTTTAGTCTCCAAATGAGGAGCTAAACTCTTCCATCTTGGTTTTGCTACTTTGAAGCTTAATGAATTTGTAAGTTGTGAGTTATTCTCTTTAATCTTCTTCCTTGAATATTAATTCTTCCTTTAAATTCTATTTCTATATCAATGTTGGGGAGTGTTACTAAGATGACAATTAGTTAACATCTTGACATTAGTTATAGTAATAGTTATTTCTTCCTCTATGTTAATATTGGGGAGTGTTACTAAGATGACAATTAGTTAACATCTTGATATTAACTATAGTAGGATTCATCTTCTTTAATATTCTTCCTTGAGTATTAATTAATTCCTATTCATATTTCATATTAATATTATGAACATTACTTAAAGGATCAACTAGTTTTGTTTCATATATTAATTATTACTAGAATCAATCGGTTAATACGCTTGTTATTAATTCGGTTCTTTCAATGGTAGTAAACTTGGGTTGTTAATGCATGCTTCTCATGATTAATAAGCCAAGGGGAATTAATTATGTTGATTAAACCAATAAACCGCTTGTGTTGAGGTTATCAATCTCAATCGTTTTCATCTTGATTTTATTGCTACTATCGGGTTAATATACGGCACGTGTTCTATATTAATTCGGTAGTAAGTTTTATTAATGAACGCGTCTCGTTATTAATAACTACCCTCGATGAACTGGATATACTCCTCGATTGAGTATTCGAGAGGAAGACAGTTAAAGATATAACCGGGATCGACGAACATTTCATTAAGTGGATAAAAGCAAAACCAAGTCCCCATCTCTATTAATTAAACTTATTTAAGTCATTCATCTTAGTGTTAATTGAATTAAATCAAATCAAATCTAAAAACCCCCTTGTTA